TACGTGGCGTTTCGCTCAGCCAAAGGGAATTTACGTGGCGTTTCGCTCAGCCAAAGGGAATTTACGTGGCGTTTCGCTCAGCCAAAGGGAATTTACGTGGCGTTTCGCTCAGCCAAAGGGAATTTACGTGGCGTTTCGCTCAGCCAAAGGGAATTTACGTGGCGTTTCGCTCAGCCAAAGGGAATTTACGTGGCGTTTCGCTCAGCCAAAGGGAATTTACGTGGCGTTTCGCTCAGCCAAAGGGAATTTACGTGGCGTTTCGCTCAGCCAAAGGGAATTTACGTGGCGTTTCGCTCAGCCAAAGGGAATTTACGTGGCGTTTCGCTCAGCCAAAGGGAATTTACGTGGCGTTTCGCTCAGCCAAAGGGAATTTACGTGGCGTTTCGCTCAGCCAAAGGGAATTTACGTGCCGTTTCGCGCAGCCAAAGGGAATTTACGTGGCGTTTCGCTCAGCCAATGGGAATTTACGTGGCGTTTCGCTCAGCCAAAGGGAATTTACGTGCCGTTTCGCGCAGCCAAAGGGAATTTACGTGGCGTTTCGCTCAGCCAAAGGGAATTTACGTGGCGTTTCGCTCAGCCAAAGGGAATTTACGTGGCGTTTCGCTCAGCCAAAGGGAATTTACGTGGCGTTTCGCTCAGCCAAAGGGAATTTACGTGGCGTTTCGCTCAGCCAAAGGGAATTTACGTGGCGTTTCGCTCAGCCAAAGGGAATTTACGTGGCGTTTCGCTCAGCCAAAGGGAATTTACGTGGCGTTTCGCTCAGCCAAAGGGAATTTACGTGGCGTTTCGCGCAGCCAAAGGGAATTTACGTGGCGTTTCGCTCAGCCAAAGGGAATTTATGTGGCGTTTCGCTCAGCCAAAGGGAATTTACGTGGCGTTTCGCTCAGCCAAAGGGAATTTACGTGGCGTTTCGCTCAGCCAAAGGGAATTTACGTGGCGTTTCGCTCAGCCAAAGGGAATTTACGTGGCGTTTCGCTCAGCCAAAGGGAATTTACGTGGCGTTTCGCTCAGCCAAAGGGAATTTACGTGGCGTTTCGCTCAGCCAAAGGGAATTTACGTGGCGTTTCGCGCAGCCAAAGGGAATTTACGTGGCGTTTCGCTCAGCCAAAGGGAATTTACGTGGCGTTTCGCTCAGCCAAAGGGAATTTACGTGCCGTTTCGCGCAGCCAAAGGGAATTTACGTGGCGTTTCGCTCAGCCAAAGGGAATTTACGTGCCGTTTCGCTCAGCCAAAGGGAATTTACGTGGCGTTTCGCTCAGCCAAAGGGAATTTACGTGGCGTTTCGCTCAGCCAAAGGGAATTTACGTGGCGTTTCGCTCAGCCAAAGGGAATTTACGTGGCGTTTCGCTCAGCCAAAGGGAATTTACGTGGCGTTTCGCTCAGCCAAAGGGAATTTACGTGGCGTTTCGCTCAGCCAAAGGGAATTTACGTGGCGTTTCGCTCAGCCAAAGGGAATTTACGTGGCGTTTCGCTCAGCCAAAGGGAATTTACGTGGCGTTTCGCTCAGCCAAAATGGAAATTTAGGTGCCGTTTCGCTCAGACAATGGGTATTCAGGTGCTGTTTTTCGCTGCTATATAGACATCAGATAACGCCGGCTTCACTCCATGGGACAGTTAATAGGGAGTCTTCGTAGATCGCTTTCGCCGTCCCGCAAAGCCCTCCGCAACCCACTGCGATACCCGGGAAACTACAGTCAAGGCCATCGGCGCGCAGACGCAGTAGCGGCTTCTTCGTTGCGAAGGGCTTAACGGAGGTGGAAACGCGGTCTACCAAAACTCCCTATTGCTTTCGCATAAAGAAGCATGTGGAGTACTTTTGGTGAAGGCAGGCTTTTCTTACCCCAACAATGCTGGAGGGCCCAGGCAGACAGCAGCGCTAGCGTGCACGTCTTCATGCTTCCCGAAATATGGTTCGAATCAGAACTGTCAGAGAATCACGAGCAGAGAATGGGCACGCGGAAACAAGCCACGCGGTCATATGTGTTGCCGTCCCAGAAGAAGTGAAGAATGCTTGGATAAGCGCCCAAGCCACGACCGGTCACCCTCGGATGGCAGCGCGAGCGCGCCGCATTTGCTTTTGCTTAGTTTAGTAGTTTCTCTAGTTCGCTGAACCGCTACCGTGTTTTCTGGCGCTGTAGCTTAACACACTAGCACAGCAATTTTTTAACACAAACATTCGGCCGATTTCGAATCCGGAGGATCGTTTCTTTTCGGGGTCTCCCTTCAAACGTCGTGACGTGCTTGATGCCGTGGTTTTTTTACACAAAACAATCGCACACCGTTGCCAGGATGTCCAAGGGGAGGCGCTGCAAGGTTGCGAAGCCCTGGCGAAGCCAGAGGACCCGCTCATCGGCTGTGACGAATGCGGGAGATGGGCATACGTTTCCGAGAGCGAATTCAAGAACACTCAAGAGGCTGAAAATGCTGACTTCGTCTGCAGAATATGCAAAATGATTGACGAGGTGGAAACGACACCCAGAAACAAGAGTGTGGAACTGGAAGCGACCATGAAGGACATGATTTTAAAAGGTGGGAAGATAGCAACAAAGCAAGGGCCGTGGATCAGAACGACAGGATGCATGCACGCCTAGACCGGGTGGATAAATTAGAGCATTGCGTCGAAGAGCCTGTGAAGCGAATGTTGTCCAGTCGAACTGACAAGGTAACTCTGGACACAACGATGGAGGATTTTCCAGAGTACAGTACGCGACGTGAGCAAGAAAAAAAAATGAGAAAAAGCCTAATTAGATTGACTATCAGCGACATGGGCCTGTGATGTCCCAAAGTGGTACCCCGTTTCCTGAGACCTACGAAGGCGGAGCAGGACCACACCTTCAACATGAAAATGACATGATACAGGTACAAACAGAGCAGCAAGTGGCAACCACATCAGTCAAGGACTTGCCCAGCCAGGTAAAAGACAATAGCAACACTACCATCATGAATGGGACTTGCATAAACCAAAGGCACATCGATGAACACATCCGACCTCCCCAAGGAGTGACACGAGAAGTGATATTGGTGCAGGTGATAATAATGTTGCCCGGTTGGCACGCACTCTCGTAGATCGAGTAGGGGACCATCGCCGAATGGAAATCCTATATAACAGAGGTGGAACAATCGCCGATGTACACCACCTAATAGACGAATATAAAGAGAAAGCAAGGAAAGTACCCCAAATGTATATATTACATGTGGGTGTAAATGACATCTTGCACGGCCAACAGCCTGCGGCGATTGTAGAGCAACTGAGGCTGAAATGGACAGATCACAAAGACGCATTGGCCATATGCTCAATACCAGAGATTGAGAGCAAAGGCAAAGGAATTCAAGCAGCAACCATGCTGCTGAATGCCCAACTAAAGAAGCTCTGTAAGGACCTCAAGGCGCGATATATAGACCTGAGCCGAGATCTCAAAGCTGAGGATGCAATGGAGAGAGGTAGGCTACACTATAAGGAAGATGGGGTGCGAAACGTGGTGAACAGGCTAGGAGCCGTGACCAGCCTTTTTTTAGGCATACAATGGCGAAGAGATTCACCAACCTCGAAGATCGGTCAGCAGAAGAGTCCAGTGGTAGAGCACAGGAACGTACCAGTGCAGGGACGGATACAACAACACTGTATGGCAAAACTCAAGCTTATCGCCCAGCTGAAGAGCACCGCATGACGCATCAGGCAATGGGGTGCCTGCATGCACAACACACGGACGACCCCGTGAACAGATGGCACGCCGACAAGACCGAAGTGCTGGCTGAAAGCCTTGCGATCACTATCCAGTCGAAGAGCAACGCACGGACTACCAGAGAAGTTTTCCGTTATAGGCCCAGTTCGCGAATTGGAGAGACGGACACCGCGACCTTAAGACATAGTACATTGCTTAGACTCGAACATGCAACTTCCACCGTCGCAAAACAGTCATGTAGCACTTGGACGGGCTCCAGAAATGGACCCTCTACAACCTCAGGGGCAAACACTTTCAAAGGGGGGCTCCCAGGGTACTCCCCCCAATCCTGGACAACCCCAACGTCAACTTCGTCCCTTGGTTGTTCAGAGGATGACTGCCCAGCGGTGTCTTGCGGGGCCAATCGTTTGATGAGCCTTGTTCGGTGGGTGATCAGAAGATTGCGACAGATGCGGGAGGACTTCGTCTAAACCGTTTATTTGGACGTTACGAGCTATATTACACAGTATATGCAAAGCAAGGGAAAATGCCCGTCCTCCAAATTAGTCCGAGTCCAAGCCAGAAAGGGCTCTCTCTCCCTAGTCACGGGCTTTTGAGGGCCTTGACCCCCTCACTCTCGCGCGGAAATTAACCAATCATTTCAAAGTTTTGCTGGAGCCACGTGACATCCAGGCACGTAGCCAGGGGGGCGGCCCCATGGGCCGCCCCCCTGGCTACGTGCCTGATATATATAAGCTATTGTTACTCTTTTATCATAATTTTATAGTTTCGTGCGTCATATTAAAACTATGAATTATCGCTACTTGAGCTTACACATGGCTTTCCCGGGATGTAAAACAAAGACCCCCTAACGAACGACGGAGCTTTATGAGTGCAATTCAAACGGCCACTTTTCTTCGGCAGGGAGTTACTAATGAAACCCGCACATTCATTCTGTTAATAAATAATACATTCACGCAATGTAGTGCTAAGAATACATCAGGATACACCAGTGTATTAGCACGTGCATGATCGAGAAGAAACGCTTCTCCGTACTTCTTGAAGAGTCGAGTTTACTGTTTGAACTGTAACCTAAAGTTGGAGGGAGATGGCAAGGACATACAGTGTATTGAATGTAGATTCACCTATCATTTAGGAAATTGCTCTGGCGTGCCTAAGAGTAAAGTGAAAGAAAAAAAAGAATCAACTAGCCTGAGAGAGAGCTGGGTATGTCAGACATGTCGCATTTCGAAAAAGCGATCGAAACAAAGCGATTTAGAAACAAATGCATCGCATGGCGAACTTGATATTCACAAGAAATTAGCAGAGATTGCGCAAATGTTAGTGGTTCTCGGTCCACTAGAAAAGAAGGTCGACGAGTTGGCCAGTGTAAAAAAAACTGTACAAGAAATTGAAAGAAAGGTACAAAGAATGTCAGACAGATACGACGAGGCTATGAAGAAACTAACCGTGCAGGAAGCAGAAATGACCGAGATCAAAACAAGAGTGAAAAAACTTGAAGAAACTAGCCCAGCTAACGAAGAAATCAACAAATTAAAGCAAGACCTTAACAACCTCGAGCAATACGGCAGGTTAAACAATATCGAAGTCCACGGAATTCTTGTCAGTGAACACGAGGACCTAATTGAAAAACTGAGTTGTGTCGCGGACAAACTACAAGTAACGAGACTAAAGAAAGAGGACGTTGAAGCAGTGCACCGCGTTCCATCGAGAAAGGGAAAAACACCCCCGATAATGATTAGATTCTTAAACCGGAGCACACGAGACGAATGGCTAAAAAACAAGAAGAAACTGCGATCCGAAGATTCTAACGACAACATCTACTTACAAGAAAACCTAACCGAAATAAACAAAAAGCTTTTTTTTGAAGCTAGAGAAAAAGCTAAATCACTGGGATATCGCTACACGTGGCACAGAGGGGGTTGCACCTATGTAAGGAAACAGGACGGTGATCGGGCGATACGTATCAAGACGCACAGTGATATCGATAAAATAAGATAAAGCCGAAATGGATGGAAAACAAACATGTTCATCTTTTAAAAAGTGGTGGACAAGTGTATCCGCTACTATTGATGACTGTTGTTTTGTTCTATTACACGCCAATGTCCGCAGTTTGAAGAAGCACTGGAATGAAATTAACAGTTTGGTGGAACCTTACCTAGTCAAGTTAGATGTTCTTGTATTTTCGGAAACAAATATAAAGCCTGAGGAAGAGACGCTGTTTGTTCTTGGTAACTTTGAAGTGTTGTCACATAGTAGAGACGACCGAAAAGGGGGTGGAACTATGGTCATAATAAATCAGAAATTAAAAATAAAGAATAGCAAAAAGATTAAATTCTCCTCAACAGAGGCTCTTCACGTCGAACTTGAAAAAAAACGGAAAACTATTTTCAGTATTAAGTCTGTATCGAGCACCACAAGGAAATATAGGCGAATTCATAGATGACATAAATAAATGGTTAAACGAGAATAAAGACAATGATATGATTGTAGTAGGTGACATAAACATTGACACACATAGATCGAATCCGATGACAAATAATTACCTTGATAGCATGGTACTATCCGGTCTAGAACCGATTATACAGGGTTTCACAAGAGAGGAAATATATAGAGGGAGACTAACTCAGTCATGCATAGACCATATACATACACGGACAAAAGAAGGGAAATCTGAGGGACAAGTTATCTCAGAGAAAGTAGCCGACCACTATTTTATGGCAGTAACTATTTCAAACTTCTTTAAAACTACACGACAAGCGTATGTTGAGAGTTCCTTTATTAATAATAAAAAAGTAGATATATACATACAGGAAATCAACTGGAAAGAAATTTCTAATGAACAAAATCCAGTAAAGCTTTACGACCAACTTATAGACATATTTAAACAGATTTATGAAAAGTCAACACAAAAAAGTCACGTAAAAAGGCGTAAAGAACAAAATGAATGGATAACTAAAGAGATAGACGACCTAATAAAGGAAAAAACGAAGGCCTGGCAGCTCTTTAAGCGTTTTCCGAATAATAAAACTTATGAAACAAATTCTCCAGCAATTAGGAACAAAGTGACTTCCATTATAAGATGTACGAAAAGAAATCACTACTGGACCAAATTTTCAGAAACAAAAGACATAGCACAATGCTGGTCACTAGTCAATCAGCTGCTAGGACGAAAAAGGAAAAAATCGATAGAAGACGTAATTAAAGTTAACTTTGGAAATTATCATGATATGGAAACGCTTGCAAATGAATTCAATACAGAATATGTTCAGTCAATTGAAAAACTTTGCTCTATGCCAACAGAAGGCAACCTAATCAAAACAGAATCTGTGACTCACTTTTTCTTCCGGAGATGTCTGAGAACGACCTAATAGAAATCGTGGGCCAAATCAAAACTAATAAAGCAGTGGGATATGATCAAATAAGGGCAAGGGACATTACGTGCCACATCCACATAATAAAACCAGTTCTGATCCAGCTATATAACTGCATATTCTCAACTGGTATCATTCTTGAAAAACTTAAGACTGCTATTGTGCGGCCAATATATAAGAAGGGCGAGAAAAATAAATTACTTAATTATAGACCCGTTTGTATACTCTCGGTAGTTAATTATATAATGGAAAAATACATCAATAAAATACTTCGGAGCTTTATCGCGAAACATAACATATTAATTGACACGCAATATGGCTTCAGAGAAAAAATGGGAACTTCAGATCTTTTGGAAGACTTTTTTGATTACGTATATGAAAACATTGACTGTACAAAATATGTATTAGCTGTTTTTATAGATTTTACACGGGCATTTGAAACGATAAATCACTTTATTGTATTAGACCGATTGTACAACATAGGGATTCGGGGAAAAGTGCATGACTTGTTACAAAATTATCTTCTAGACAGATATCAAATAGTGCGACTAGGATCGAAATATAGTAGAACAATTAGAGTAAAACAAGGAGTACCGCAAGGTACAGTTCTGGGCCCCCTACTGTTTAATTTATATATCAATGAAATTGCGCAAGTAAAACTAACAAGCAAATTATTTCAGTTTGCAGATGACACAGTAATTGTATACGCCCACAAAAATTATGAAGTTGCCGTTCGAGAAGTACAAGACGACATTCACAATATTTTTCAGTGGTACTGTAGAAATCAGATTATCGTAAATACTTCAAAAACTCAAATAATGTGCTTTAGAGATCCCAGAAAAAAACTATTAACTGAGTTACCCATTAAAATGCACAATAAAAATTGTAATAACTGTTCATGCCTACCAATTGAGTATGTAAAAAATGTAAAATACCTTGGAATGTATATCGACCAACATCTTAAATGGGACTCACACATAGAGCAAGTTTGCAAAAAATTAAGGACACTGATGGCTTATATGTTTCACATGCAAGATATGGTCCCCCATTCTGTACTGAAAATGATTTATAACTCGTTAGGAAAATCTGTAATTCAATATGGAATAACTGTTTATGGGCACTGTGCCAAATACCTACAAAGAAAAGTTGAAACTCTCCAAAAACAGATATTCAGAAGAATCGGTTGCCAAATCAAAAAGAGAAGCCATTTAATAGATGACATACATAAAAAATAGGCGTATTTTATTTTAGTGATCAATTGAAGTATGACATAATCACAAAATTCTTTTTAATCAACAACCACAAAATAGAAATTGTTAAAGAAAGAACATTAATGCCAAATAGGAAATATTTAGAGCCATTAATAAAGACAAAGTATGGAGAGTCTACAAGAAAATATTATGTGCCTAAGCTTTTTAACGAACTACCTGAGGAGTTGATTGAGTGCAAAAATCCACATGCAATGAAAAAAATGGCAAGAATATGGATCAATGAACAGAAAAATTGAACAAAGTGCCAATATACGACGGTAACCACTGTACGAATTATATGGATTATTGAAACAATGATTTGAGATATATTACTAAATAGCAGTATGTGACTAATAGAGGCCAGTTTCACCGGTTATAATGCACGTGTATATAGGAGCTGCTTCTTTTCTTATAATTTGTTTGGTTTGTTTAAACTCGTAGAAAGAGTTAAAACTGTAAAAATAATGGTTGTAGTCACCTGCCGTGTCCCACACACAAGCCTTCTTGGCTTACGTGGATACAGAGCGAAATGTATTCAAAAAAGAAAAATAAATTGTATTGTATTGTATTGTATTGTACTCTTATCCCGAGTGTAAAAGATACGTAGGCCAACGTGACCTTTCCCAGTCAGTCTCGCCCTGGCTGACACCTGAACATTTTATAGACGCCGCGACGCTCACTGGCGCTGTTGCGACGCGCATTCTCTGTTTTATTATTATTATTTTTTTTGTCTGGCACAAATTTGCCGAATAAACCTTTCTTTCCAGCTTACGCTCGTTGAACCTTTTCTATCCGGACACTATTCTAACTGACGCAAAAAAGAAGTCAATTTATTTCACTGAGCATCGTAATGAATGCGAGTTATGCCTTATTCATATGGTGAGACTTTACTTGCTATTGCGAAGTTCCAACGTCGTTTGCGCAGTAGAAAAACGTAGTGAGGTTCTACGGCGCTCAGTGTCGCAACTGAAAAATCGCAAGCAAAATCCCACCGTGTAAATCTGCCCACACACGCATACAAGATGCATGTTCACGAACCTGTTCTTTGCAGGCGACAGCTTTACACTTCCTTTCACAGAGAGTGAGCAACAATGACGAGGACTTACTACCGTAAGAAACAAATTCTGCGGCCATAAAACAGGGCGAGATATAAGGCGTGGTCTAGTGCCACTAAATAAGCTACGCTTCAGAGTAACGACACTTCGCCATATTGTGGCTTAAAATCATGGTTGCCAGTTATCTGAAGCTTTATCTCAAATCCTAGGAAACGCTTTTCCGTCCTCCACAAATGTTTAAACAGTCCGCGACAGAGAAAAGCAATATTACATGAGCTTCCTAACACCGAATCGAATGCTGAGAAAGTCGCACTGTTGATTCATGACGATCTGCAATTGCGTCTGCTCTGCACAAGCCCCAATATGGCGGCGCCCACAACAATGTCGGGGAACGGAGTGCCAATACTCTAAGCGCACCTCATTTAGTGGCTCTAGCGTGGTCAGCTGTAGCACGAGTGTCTTCAGCATGAATTCGATGATGGCGATGGAACTTTCCTTCGTCCTCTTCTTTATTTATTCTCTCGTTGAGAGCGCGCCGAAGTTTGCGGTAGAGGTCTTGTAGTCAATATATTGTCTGGTTGCACAGAGTAGTGATTACCAACAGTAGTTTTAATACGAAAGGTACGAGAGTAGACAACCTTGAAGGAGTCATGAAACAATATTGGGTACAATCCACCATTATCAAGCTGCATCGTTCTAAAGTTTATGGCACACAAAAGGCCTGTTCACACATGAAGCGGAACGCTACAAGCATAGCGATCCCTACTTCTGCCTGTTTCAATCTGGATAAGCATCATACCGGCGTGCGGTCGTGTATCACTACTGCGTGATGCACGTTAAAGACCCCAGGCTAGCGGCTGTACTGCACTGGCTAAATTTCTCATCTACAGCTGGGAGACTCGTCGCCCGTTGAGGCAGACCAAGTTCCAGGCTGTATGAACATACACACAACCCATTTTTTTCTTTACAAGCATAGCGCTGACCTCGCGCTATGCGCGTGCTGTCAGGAGCATTCCCCAGCTTTGTACCTCATCATAAAAACTGTTGCTCAAGCAGACGATAAGTAGCTGAGTACACGTAAGATGGGAACGAGTGGCCCTGCACAGACTGCAAACTCGCTCTACGCCAACTCCCGTTTGGCTTGCCAAATTCCACAGGCCAACAGACCAGGAAGACACGGTACCGGACCCAAGATGTCCCCACTGCGGTGTCCCCGCGACTTGTGACCACCTTGTATGGTTCTGTCCAGAGACGTCAAACGAACGGGCAGCGGCGATCATCAACCGGCCACCTTCCCTTCGACCGAAGGCCCTATGGGAATG